TATCTTCGAATTTTATCATTTTCAATTTAGCAAATTTTTCGTTTGTGTGATCTGTTTTTTTTTTTCAAGTAGGTCATTGTGCAGTAACTTGAGATTGTGTTTTTGAAGAGCCAGAGGCCCCTCATAGTGTGCGACAGTGTATCAGGTGTTGGTAAACAAGATCATAATAGATTTCTTTCATTGCTGTGAGAGTGAGTGACTGTCGAGTGTGATACATGATACCTCACTGTTTATTGACTTTGCTGTGAAAGGCTTCTATGTGGTTTCTCCAGTTAAGTTTCTCATCAACAATAACTCCGAGGAATTTAGTAATTTTGTTCGCGTTTGAGGACTGTATTACCAAGGTACAGGGGGTCCAAGTCTGGGGGTAAGTTTTTCCTTCTGTGTAAGGTCGTGTAGTAGGTTTTCTCAAGGTTTAAGATCAGTTTATTACGTATTACCCAGGTCCTGACTTCAGTGTTCATAGTTCTCTTCAAGGAATGAAGGTCTGAGTTGCTGGCATAGAGATTACTATCGCCTGCAAATAAGTTGTATTTTATGAGTGAGCTGGCGTGGTCTATGTCGTTTATGTACAACAAAAACAGTACTGGACCGAGAATGGAACCTTGGGGGACGCCATACAAGATTGACGAGGAGTCAGATTGGTGATTATAATAGCAGACATACTGCATCCTGTTGGACAGATATGAGGTTAACCAATTGTGGGACAGGCCCCTAGCGCCGTAATGTTCAAGCTTTGAAAGGAGGATGGTATGGTCGACAGTATCGAAGGCTTTAGAGAGGTCCAAGAATATACCGACTGTGAACTGACTGTCATCAAAGGAATTTATGATATCATTAGTAAAGGATAGCAGAACACTCTCAGTCGACCTTCTAGATCTAAATCCAAACTGGGAGTCTGTAAAGTTGTTATTGGCATTGCAGAAGGAATTTAGTCTATTACATGTTAGCTTTTCCAGTATCTTACTCAAGGCTGGGAGGACTGATATACTGTAGGGCTGTAATTCTTGAAGAGACCTTTGTCCCCTGATTTTTTATATGCTGGGTGAACTTTAGCAATTTTCATTTTATCAGGAAAGACACCACTAGTGAAGGAGGAGTTACAAGTGTGTAGGAGAACAGGTAGTAATAAGTGGGCTACTTTCTTAATGATGCTCATTGGTATAGTGTCTTCGCCTACTGCTGCATCTTTGGACATTTTTATGATGGCCAGTAATTCATCTGCTGTGGCAGAGGATAAAAACAGCTCATTTTGCTGTCTGTTTTGCAGGTAGGCTCTAAATTCCTCATGGTGATCAGGAATGCTCTCTGCAAGATTTTTGCCAACATTAATAAAATAATCATTGAAGTGGTTGGCAATGGGGGAGGGTTTCGTTACAACAGAAGCATTTATCATAAAAGCTGAGTGGGGGGCCGAAGGCTGAGTGTTCCTGTTCTGAATAGAATTTATGACATTCCAGGTTTTCTTACTGTCGCCTGATGTTGACTGGAGCTTATTTGTATAATAGCTACGTCTGGCATTTCTAACTGCTTGAGTTATTCTATTTCTGATACTTCGGTAAGCATCACCGAAAGTTATGGGTCTTTTTGAAAATTTCCTTTGGAGTTTGTGTTTTTCTTTTATCATTATCATAATTTCGCTTGTGATATAGGGTTTGGAAATGGATACAGTTTTCACTGACTTAGTCTTGAGCGGGAAGCATTTACCAAAGCAAGCATTGAAGATGCAAGAGAAGTTGCAGCTGTTCACGTTAGGGTTGTCGGAGGCATAGACAAGATCCCAGTTAGTATTCATTAGGTTGTTTTAAAAAAGGAGCGTGTTGTCGGTGCAGTAGTCTCTGTATTGTATTGAGACTCTAATAGACCTTTCAGGTCTTGTGGCTGTTTTATACATGGCAGAAACTGGGAAGTGATCTGAGATATTGTTATAAATAATTCCACTTGCTAGGTTGTTAGGAGTGTTGTTAGTCCAGATATGATCTATCTAGTGGGTTTGGTTATAGTGTTGAAGAAGAGTTTAGAATGACAGGTAGCAAGAAGGTCTGATACTGAGGTGTCGGTTTCTGATTTTAATAGATCAAGGTTGAAATCTCCTGTAATGTAGCAATGTTTCCTCTCTGATCTTATGATAGTGATAAGCTCCGAAAATTTATCAAGAAAATTCCTTACATTAGTGTGGGGTCTTCTGTAGATTACTCCTACTAGGATATTTCGTGTGTCGTTACGTAATTCAATGAAAACACTCTCCATGTACTCCTCCTGAACCTTTAAATCATCTCTTACAGAAGTGTTATACTTGATATCAACATATAGGGCGACACCACCACTGTGTCGTAACGTGTTGACGCAGTGTCTATTATACTTAGGAATGTTATACAAATGGTCAATATCGTTAGTGAGTTTGGTCTCACAGAACCCAAGTACATCAAATTTGTGGGCAATAGATGATAAACAATTATCTAAAAAGGTGTCTAGATGAAGGGGAATACTACTGATGTTATGGCTAATCAAGGAGAAGGAATGAGGTAGTAGAAGACTAGAACTAAACTCGGGAGAGTCAGGAAAGTAATAGTTACAGTTGGGGTTGGTGTAACCCAGTGAGTTTTGTAGAAAGGCATCAGGATCGATATGAGGGAGTATTGTGTCGACACCACGGGTAATTGGGGTGTAACACATATGATCTAGCACATCTAAGGGAATGACACTAGTATCATTATTGTGGGAACATTAATACTGTTTAAGGAACAGTAAAAACTTAGGGTCACTGAGGTGTGAAAAAGGAAGATCAGTGAAAATTATAATAGTGGGGGGGGGGAGGTAACGTACTCACAAGTGCTACAACCAACATAATTAGGAAGACTGTTGAGGGCGATTCCCAGATGGAGTGGGAGGTGCTCCTGTCACTCGGTTTTGAGGGTTGTTGGTTTCCACCACAGAGGGTAGACGTGTAGTACTCGAGTTGGCCGGCAGGGGGGGAAACTCCTCAAGTGATAGTGACAGTGGCTGGTTCCCCCTTAGTGGGAAGGGGGTTTTCGAGGGGCTTGGGGGAATTTGGTACAGCTGGTGGGTGAGTGGACGGGTGTCCACTTGCCCGATCCCTCACAACAAGGGTTTTATGACTGAACGTCACGTGTTTCCCTTGTTTCCTGGCTTCTTTAAACTGTTCCATTTGCTGTAGACGGGCTTTATTCGTTACTGGGCAGAGATCTTCGTTAACGAAGATAGTGGTGCCTTTCAGTTTACTGCGTTGATAAAACACTTTGTCACGGTGAGAGGGGTTCAGCAGGCGTGAAATTTTGCGTTAGGATGACTCCCAGTTCTCGTGGATGTCTTCAGGGATACCGGGAATCCTGAGGTTGTTTCGCCGCCCTATGTCATCCACATAATCCACCCGGTCTGCTGTTGTCGTTAGTTCCGTTTTGAGCTTGGAATTCTCCTCACTTAGCTGTTGAACTTGGGCCTTGAGTGTTCGGTTCTCATTAGCTTCAACGTTCAAAATTGCTTGTAAGTCACTTATTTCCCCTTGCGAGAATTCCAAGCTTCTTTTAATCTCACTTAGCTGGTCAGTGAGATGCCGGTTAGCCTCTTCTAGCTTCCTGATGGTCGCCTTATTCATTTGTTGTATGATGTCCTGTATGAGAGTCCATTGGACTTCCATTATCACATCAGCCAGCTGTTGTTTCGTGAAATTTGAATGTTTGATACTAGCAGCCAACTTAGACATATTGGAGCTAGTGAGGGCTGAGTAGCTGGCAGTAGGGTGACAGTCTAGTTGTGTGGTCAGCTGGGTGGCCTGGTGGGACGGTGGGGGAGTGTGGACTGTGGGGGTGGACAGGGCTCAGATTACAAGCCGTGGCACTGAGGGGAGCTTGGTGGGCCTACACCTCACTTCGTAGACACAGATTCACCAGTAAATTTACAAATATATCTACTTAGGGGGATCACAGATAGATATTGTACTGGTCACGACTCTCACGAATCAGATTTCCTAGAAATCAGACTGGGTACTCCTGGAAAGACCCTGTTTTTCGACGAAAAACACGGTGCTCCCACACACAGGTTCCACCACCACGACAGGAGATAGGCAGAGTATTGCCCGTTGAGATGTTTATACACCTCAATTAGATCCCCCTTTGCCCATCTGTAGTATAGGCTTGGCAATTGCAGGCTCTCTAATCTGTCCTTAAACGCAGGAAGATTGTTTACATCCTTTCTTGTGAACACCGAGGAAAAGAAACTGCTCAACGCCTCAGCTTTGTCCTAGTCAGAATTTGCGTAACTACCATCTTCAAGCCTCAGATATGATACTCCTACTCTCGATTTTAATTTAGACTTTGCATAGCGGTAAAATGCCTTTGGGTTTGACTTGACCTCGCTTGCAACCAGCCTCTGGAATCCTTTTCAGCCTTTCTACAGTCTGACTTTGCTTGGTTCTTGGATCTGGCATGCATCCTCCTGTCCTGCTCATCGTTTGACCTGACCCACTTCTTGAATTTCTGGGTTTTCTTCTTAACGTTGTCAACCGCCGCATGGTTCATGTGTAGTGGTCTCCTTGTATTCCTAGAGGCACTGGGTTTGGTCTTGGGTATATATTTATCGATCAAATGATTCACTTTACTGTCTATGATATTCAGTGTAGCTTCTGTGTTCTTATTCCTTAGTAAGTCAGGCCAGTGTATACTCCTCATCTCCTCCCTCATCCCATCGTAATTTCCTTTGTAATATTTTAACCTGGACCTGGTTTTTCTCATGAACCAAGTAACATTGAAATCTGAAGGACAACGTTACATGGTGACTGGTGTCAACGGGGGCTAGGTGTTCCAGCTTGGCCACCATACCCTCCTCGTTTGTTATGCAGAGGTCCAGTGGCTTGGGTGTTTGTTCCAATGCTTAGTAGAAAATAGTTGGGTTCCAGCATATTCTTTGCCTTCCATATTATTTCCAACTATCTATGTTTGAGTCTACATATTGCAGACACTAATACCACCTCCATTTTGCAGACATCTACCGGCTGATGCTAGGGGTGAAAAAGTTTGGTCTGAGTGTCAACCTGCTGGCCACCCGCATCTTGCCCTCACTCCTGCCCCTCACCATTAGTCCCTCACTCAACCTCCTCCAGTTTAGCTTCCTCCTCCAGACCATACATGAGATGCTCGACCACATCGACAAGTGAGTATTTGGAGGCCATACCTGGTGGTGAGTACCCAGAGACTAGGTGGTAAGTACTTGATGACTTGGTGCTGAATAACTGGAGGGCTTACCATACCTGGAAGTGAGTACCATACCTTGAATGTATTGGAATTATACCTGATGGTGAAGGACCTGGTAATATTATGACCAGTGATGATGACCTGGTAATATTATGACCAATGATGATGACCTGGTAATTGTGGAGAGGAGTATGCACAGTCATCACCTGACCAAAGGAGAGTTAAACATAAAATATACATAGAGAGTAAAATTAGGAGAGGGGAAGATTAAATATTAAAAATTAAAATACTTGGTAAATGTTTAATAATATAAAGATTTAAAAGATTCAAGGTAATGAGTTCTCCAACTGTTATAATGTAAGCTTTAAGCTTTTGGCTAGAGGTAAGACCTTCCTCCTGAAAATAATCTGAAGGTATTTTTTTTCCATATCCTCAGGCGATGTAACTGAGCAATATTTCCAACTGTGATTTTATCAAGATATATCTTATCTACGCTTTCATTGTGGATCTACATGAAATATATATATATATATATATATATATATATATATATATATATATATATATATATATATATATATATATATATATATATATATATATATATATATATATATAGATATATATATAGATATATATAGATATATATAGATATAGATATATATAGATATATATATATATATATATATAGATATATATAGATATAGATATATATAGATATAGATATATATAGATATATAGATATATATAGATATAGATAGATAGATATATATAGATAGATATATATAGATATAGATAGTAGATATATAATAGATAGATATATAGATATATAGATAGAGATATAGATATATATAGATATAGATATATATATATATATATATATATATATATATATATATATATATATATATATATATATATATATATATATATATATATATATATATATATATATATATATATATATATATATATATATATTTCTCAGCTACATCGCCTGAGGATATACAGGTATGCTGTATATATATCCAGTCCTCTTGTTTAGGAGAATTTCTCATTTTTTGTGTAATGTTGGTGGAGGTCATGTGACAGTCCTTCTAGCTAGTCTTGGATAAATAACTCAACCTGATGTACCTACCATCTCTCAACAACCAGCCCTCCTTAACCACCATCTCTCAACAACCAGCCCTCCTTAACCACCATCTCTCAACAACCAGCCCTCCTTAACCACCATCTCTCAACAACCAGCCCTCCTTAACCACCATCTCTCAACAACTCAACCCCCTCCTAACCACCATCTCTCAACAACCAGCCCTCCTTAACCACCATTTCTCAACAACCAGCCCTCCTTAACCACATCTCTCAACAACCAGCCCTCCTTAACCACCATCTCTCAGCAACCAGCCCTCCTTAACCACCATCTCTCAACAACCAGCCCTCCTTAACCACCATCTCTCAACAACCAGCCCTCCTTAAACGCCATTTCTCAACAACCAGCCCTCCTTAACCACCATCTCTCAACAACCAGCCCTCCTTAACCACCATCTCTCAACAACCAGCCCTCCTCAACCACCATCTCTCAACAACCAGCCCTCCTCAACCACCATCTCTCAACAACCAGCCCTCCTTAACCACCATCTCTCAACAACCAGCCCTCCTTAACCACCATCTCTCAACAACCAGCCCTCCTTAACCACCATCTCTCAACAACCAGCCCTCCTTAACCACCATCTCTCAACAACCAGCCCTCCTTAACCACCATCTCTCAACAACCAGCCTTCCCTGCTGACCAGCCCTCAACAACCTTGCCTCCAATCCTCATTAACAGCCCTCACTGCCCACAGACAACAGCGGAACAAGTTGAAGCTGGACAACCTGAGTCTAGCGAGCAGCCCGGGAGAGAAGCGTTTGCTGCGCCACCAACTGAGCTCAGACAACATGTCTCTCTCGCCCTTCTCCCCAGTGCCCAATGTGAAGATCCAGGACACCCGCATGTCCTCCAGTGCCGAGGACTTCCTCTCTCGCCGGGGGTCGTCAGGTATAGGCTTCATGGGATACTCCTTCTCAGGTAAATCCCGGCAAGCAAGTTGTGGTGGTGGTGATGGTTGTTGTTGTGGTGGGTGATGGTGGTGGATTTGGCCTGGGTGTTGAGAGGAAGGGAGTCAGCTAGTCTAATTTGAGATGAATGATCACTTTGGCTAAGTTGATCAATGAATGTACTGTACAGTATAAGGTAAGTCACTTATTTCAGTTGAAGATAATTATTAGTGCATAGCGTCAAAGAAAATATGATTCTTTGTGGAAAAAAAGTGATAATACAGTATTTAGTTTGAAAGGGAAATCGGAAAATATCAAGGTCCCTTCTTCTCACACTCATTTTGCCACATGCACAGCCACCCACCATGTGCATCATCGCCTGCTGTACACCTCACGACATGGCTCATCAACCCAACAGTCCATACAGCCAAACTAATGTAAACTCTTAAAGACTCCCTGAAGGTCTTAGAAAAAAAAATCAAAATAGTCTGATAAGGGACTTGGTGGGTTGCAAAGTCTTGTGTGATTGGCTGAAGCAATAGCTAACAACAATGAGTTTTAGAAGATCTTGTGTGATTGGCTAAGGTGTCAGCCAATCATGAGCTGTTTCGTGAATGTGTGGAGTGTTGGTGCCATTTTCTTGACATTCAAGTTTTTCTCATTATTGTTACGGTTGCAGAATGTTCTGGCATTCCTGTGGTTTTGCTCTTAATGTTTGTCTGTATTATTCCTTAGTGGTATGAGAATATATCTTACTAAAACCTAGGAATCATTTTGAACCATTAATAGTAAGGAAGCATTGTCTTATATAGTTAGCTTTGCAAAAGTTCATGTCTGCAACTAATTTTTTTTTTCACACTCACATACAGAATCTTGTTGTCTAATATATGCTTGAGAATAATGCATCTGTTTTTGGAACATGTCCTTAAAATGGCACTCTTAAGATTTTTGTCCTGTTGCATGCAAATGTTGAAGAAAACATATTTTAGCAATAATAAGGTTAAGCAATGTATTTGAGAATACAAGTACAGTTGTCATTGTCCTCATGAAGTAAATTTTTAGCAACAAAGAGAATCACAGGTGTTGGCAGGTTATTAGTCAGACCATCAGCTCATAATACCTGGGCATTTGTCCACTCCTTAAGGAGACAAAAGGTTAGTGTTCTTCAATAATTTAGAAGCCATGTAGGAATTTACATTTGAAATTTGAAAAACTCCACTATTGATGTCTTATTGGAATGAATAATGGTACAACAGTGATTATTATTTATTAGCAACTACAGGTTGAACCTCACTAGTACGGCAAACTCAGGACCAAACCGGTACCAGACATATTGAAAATTACAAACAACTGAAGCTTAGGTTAAAAAAATAAATCAATGTATATATAGTACTGGTACAACTTACATAAGCATACAGTAGAGTCTGGATTTACCCGGTTTTTGTTTACGCGTTTGGTCATTTACGCAGTGCCTTGCCAGAATGAAATGTTTTAATTACGCAGTAAATTTGGTCATTTACGCTGCGAGCGGCTGGAGAGGTCCAAACCGCCGCGCCATTTTTTACTCAGCAGTCCATTCTTGACCATACGCGGGAAGCTGTGAGGTGAGTGGTGGGCATTAGGCCGCTCTTGCGTTATCGCTAATGTCATATGACGTATCGGACTGTGATTGGGCCACGCATCCTTACCACCCACCCATTCCCTCCGCCGTTAGCTGTGATTGGTCTAATGTAACATGACGTGCCCTGCCACCAGAGGGTAGAAGTCGCTGACCTAGCCGGGCCTGTCTCACTGTATTCAGTCCGCGTATACAGTTCTCTCTTGTGCCCGCTATTCCCCTCACAATGGCTTCCGCGGGACCCCCACCACCCGAGAAAAACCTTGAATTACCTGGACCAAGCCATGATAATGTGAAGGAAATCATCGAGTTGGGGGAGAAAATTAAGCTCATCCTTGACAACGACCCAGACAAGCATCGGTATGAAGTGTCTAATAACCTTCTGTCGAAAGTTATGGAGATGTATATCCAGATCTATCTCGACAACATCAATGCTAGTCGTCAATGTAGTATTGAGGACTTCCTCGCCCGCAACCCACCACAACCACAGCCAGCCCAAGTCAGTGATAGTGAGAGTGAGGATATGGACTTTGAGGGGTTTGTCTGGGAGGCCCTGCAAACCTCTGCGAGTAGTGAAAGTGAAAGTGATTCACCGGAGGGCAACTGATCTGCCCTCTGCCTCGGAACCAGCCGCCATCCACGTGTGCCGACCCAGCTTTTCTACTAACGTAAGTGTTAAAAAACCTAATATTATTGATATTTCTCTTAATTATTAAGTGTGTGTGCATACCATCATAAAATTAAGATGTTATTTTTACTACAACGTAGGTATTGTGTCGGAAAAAGTGGAGTTTGGGGGTCAGCCCAGTCTCTATTTCAATTAATCCCATATGTTCTGTTATTTCATTTACTCGTTTCTCGTTTTGCGCAGACCTCCACGGGTTCAATTGACCGCGTAAATGCAGATTATACTGTACTGTATTTTAGGGTAAATTTTTTGGAATAAAGTTACCAACTCCTATGGGGAAAAAACATGAAACTGGAGATGATTATATAATATATATCATGAAATTGACCTGACATTATACTAATAAACAGTCACGGTGAGACTGAAACAACAACATTAACTCTTTAACTATTATGAAACCAAAATAAATCGGAAAAAATAGTGAATGCGATAGCGGTTAAAAAATTAAACTAATTGATGACTTCAGGATAGAATAATAAAATATTAACTCAAGAGACGTAATTATTACTACTTCTGAAGACCTATTAAAATTGGCTAACAATAGTCATCCGATGTATCTTAGACTTTAACGCGTAGACATGAGTTTTTGACAATACAAATATATCGTAGGAGGCATATTAATCAATTAATAAATTTGGGAAAATCAATCATCTGGGTCCTAACAACCTGGAGAAATCACAATACAATCGACATTAATAATTTCAACAAACAACATTTTTCAGTACCATATAATCAGGCAGTGACCATCTGCCAGATATACTAACACTGTCAACAAATATACAGATACCAATAAAAAGGCTGAAAATAGGTAAAACAGACTGGGACAACTAAAGACGATGACTTAAGTAATCACCACTCAGTTAACCTACAAGGGAAAACAACAGAAGATATAGACTCAGAAATGAATGAAGACTACTCAGCAATAAAAACATCTATAACCAAACACCTCCTACTTCACACTTTAGAACATTACCCAACAACAGACTACCAGAAGAAGTTAAGTCAATCAGACCTATTACAATGAAATAAACAGGTGTATGGAAAGACACAGTAAAGATGGCTATTATTTTGAGTTGGGGTTTAAATTATAGTTATCGTCTGCAGATCAACAGGTAACAATAATAAAAAAAAGACAATCGGACTATAAAGAATGGTAGAAAGGATGCGAGTTTTCGTTGTATATAATATTACATAAATCCTTATAAATTACCCTTAACCAAACTAACTAACATTAACAGTATATACATATTAATAAACATAAAACAATCTCAACAAGTGGTTGGGGAAATTTACAAGAGATACTAGTATAAGTGAGCTGAGATGGCTGACGGAAGTAAGCTGAGTATTGTAAAGACGGTAGGTGATCACTGCACCGTACGTAGGTTTAGAGATGAATGATCTGTGGTCTACTGGAGTGCTCTCTCCTCAATTGGGGTGACGCAGCAACCAGATGGGAGAAACCTCAGGTGGTAACGTCGGTCATGTACTGTGTATGCGTCCCCTAGATGGCGTTTAACCAGTGGTGGTGGGTGGGTGGAATCAGGACAATAGATGGCGTGCTTCGTAGTGCTATGGGTGGAAGGTTTCTCTACCTCAAAACCTCCGCAGGCTGGTGATCTGGTGCGTCTGAAGTAGCTCCTGTTCCACTGGAGCTCGGGATAAGTCGTCTGCAATCAGGTTATAGGGCTGGGTGAGGGCTGCGGAGGATTAGCCTGGTTGGGTCTTGTTGGTTTGGATGAACGTGAGTGGGTTATAGTCAGTGAACTAAGGTTTGTGGCAAGGACTGGGTATTAAACTACAATTGCTACCAGAGCCAAGACCTCCTTCTCTATGGTCAGTGGTTGGTCTGATGTTTTCAGCAATACAGGGTGAGATTCGGTTGTGAACCTTCCGTACCACTACGTCGATTTAGATGGAAGGGCGGGGTGTAGTCAGGCGCTGAAACGAGAAGGCGGTGGGAAGTCTGGTTCAGATGTTAAGGACATAGAACTGGTGAGTCTGTGGTCAACCATGCTGGAGCTTACACTACTGGGTTCATTGATCCAAGGCGCAGGTTCCTTCCTCGTCCTTAGGTGGGGGAGGACAAGATAGCTCGTTTACGTCCTTGGGTCTCCTGCGAATACCAATGTTATGTCCCAGGTAAGTCACACCAAATTATGGTTTATGGTGAATCAGTCTCTTGCAGTCATTACAAACAGTATCTTAAACCAGGTCATCGATGGGCACGTCCTGGGTTCTGATTGGATTGTTGGCCCTCTGGAATGTGAACATTAGAAAAGCCAAACGCATAACAAATGAAAAAAGACGAAATGGAGTTATAAATGTAGATTATTTTGCCTATCCTGTGATCCCTTGATATCCTTTCTATCTCTAGTCCACCGTGCTGATAAATTTAGCTGCTGTCATATATCTTCAATCAAGGTTAGGGTAGGTTGAGACAGTGACTGGTTCACGATAATCGGTACAGAAACAGTGCCATCGGGTTTTGGAGAAGGCAAGGTGAAGCCAGAGGTACTAGGCTCAGCTAAGTTATTTAACAAAAATCTACCTCTTTTCATAATCTTTTTTTTTTTTGTGGATTTAGTCGATGACTGATTGCTAATGGGTTGTATCATCAGATTAATATATCATGTTTAAGTATTATATTGCAAAACCTGGGAGTCTGTATTGACTTTAGAAATGTTGATAATAACTTGTGAATCTTTGCTTGAGGATGGATTCAGAA